TACATACCTTTATCAACTATTATTCACCTCTTTAGGTATACATCTCTCAGTTTCTTTTTTTTTTTTTTTGAGACAGAGTTTCGCTCTTGTTTCCCAGGCTGGAGTGCAATGGCGCGATCTCGGCGCACCGCAACCTCCGCCTCCTGGGTTCAGGCAATTCTCCTGCCTCAGCCTCCCGAGTAGCTGGGATCTCTCAGTTTCTTAAAAGAATGTCAAAAGCAACAATGGTTTTTCTTTTGGAGCATATAAGCATGATAATATTTCAAAACTTCTTCACCTTTTTGAAATTGATCTCTGTGGAAAAGCAATTCTCTACTCTGTCCAATATGGCTACATTTCATTTTGAGATTAATATTTCCTGAACTGTTTTAACAACGGACAATCATAGTAACAAACATAGTTTTAACAAGGATACTCATAGTGAGTAAAATTTTAATCATCAAAAATGGGAGAAAAAGAGCCAAACGTGTAAGACCTAATACTCCTAACACAAATATTTCAAGATGTATGTTATACATATTTTTACAGATGTCATAGGCACATATGATGAGATACCTTTCTAAAAACATAAACGATTATCTGAAAGAGATGTTCTGGATCTGTTATTTAAAAAAATACTAGTAATATGTAGAAAATTATAACCACGTATGTATTTGCTATTTTTTCCTCAAGAATGTATCTGTAATGCTTACATAATGTATATATTTTACAATACAAAAAAAAACACTACATAAAAACCAATTTCCCTACCTCAATTTAAAAATATAAAATATGTCTAGAGATGGTTAATGCCATATGGCAATAGCTCTTCTTGAATCCTCTGCTTTGCAATCAATAATTCTCCAACCATTAGTGAATATACACTATGAGTCATCAGAAACAATATACAAAATTAATGGGGATCATTCTTCCCCTCACCCTCCACACACACACTGACACTAATGGAAGCTATGTCTCATATAGGAAGAAAGATTCAAGATGGCACCAAGCCGAGAGGCAACTCTTCTTCAGGCTCTATATACAATCTAGCTCTCTCCCCACAAAGAATCCACAACATCCATCTTCATTTTTTGGCATCTTTCGAGAAAATAACAGTAAGCATACTTTATATGGCTAGAAAAGAACCACATTTTTTCAACTTAACACTCACTGTGAATGGCAAAATGTACTTCAGTTATGAAAATATCTGAAAGGAATGTTTCCAGGACCTATGCCATTGTGCTTTGTTTACCAGTCAGATGTTTTCTCAAGAATGTGTTCAAATTATAAAGACAGTGTCACCATGTATAGAAATTCTTCAAAGCCCATAATGTTACGGTAGAAACACATTTTTACTTTTCCTAATATTCAAAACAATGCCCTCTTATCTGCAGGTAAAAATCTTTCATTCTTATGAATTCAGCCATTGCTCAGGACCCTGGATTTGTGGGCTTGTTTTTTTTTTAATTTTCTAAAGAAAGTCCTAGCAAAAGAAAACACATATTAAGCATTTGAAGATAATTGCTATTTACTAAAAACTCTATTTTAAAATAATTTTAGTGACTGTTTATGTTTGGTAACTTCAGGACAATGGTAAGTACAGTGTCTCTAAAACGTTCCTAAGTAACAATCATACTCTATTTTGGCCTTTGAGAGGTGTTAAGACTCATTCTCTAATTATAAGTTTTCTCTATTATTACTATCTCACCATGAAATCTCTAAACTAAATAGCAGCTTTGAGGAAGTAAAAATAGATGTTAGGTGGTGTGTTTTCTCAAATTTTGGTTACAATGGATAAGAAATACAAGGTATTTCTACGTACAATAAGTCGATTTTATTGTGTTTTGACCAGCAAACTCTTTAAGCTTTCTCCCACCTTATCCTAGAACAGTGCTGTCTAAAATAAATACAATGTTAGCCACATTTGTTATACTAAGTTTTCTAGACTCCACAGTAAAAAAAAAAAAAAGAAATAAAACAGGTGAAGTTAATCTAATAAGATCTTCTATTAGAACCAATATATCAAAAAATTATCATTAAAACATATCGTCAATATAAAAACATTATTCTTTCCCTCATATAAAGTTTTGAAAACCCAGTAGTATTTTACGCTTCTCGATCTGGACTAGTCGCATTTCAAGTGCTCAATAGTCGCATGTGGCTACTGTACTGGACAGTACATTCTAGATTTCAAAAAATATGAAGCTTTTTGGTCTAAAAGACCATACACTTTAAAAACCTTCCTATGTCACATTCTCTATGATCCATATTGTTGGGATTTTATTTTGAGCCAATCACTTTGTGAACCTATTTCACTTCTTTCCTCTACTCCCTTGACTCTCGTATCTACCACCCACCCTAATGCCTTTGCTTACAGAATTTAAAAAACCCAATCACCTATTCTTTTCAGCTTCTTCTAAGCAAGACCTGAGATGTTCTCTAATCTGCACATCTATCACCAAGCAGAAAACCAGAAGGTGCAGCAAAACTATTTATTCTCTGTTTCCATAAATAGATCTATCAAAAGCCTAATGTATGGCAACAGTGACAAATGAAGATAGGGCAATTTTATATAATAAAGTAACACACTCTTCCTCAATGAAAAATATAATTTTACTCTTTTTTTTCCCCAGGAGAAATTTTGGGATAGTCTGTTCTTGTTCTGGAACAAAACCCAGTGTTTCATTTCATAGGAATTCTGTGCCTAGAGGAAGAACAGAATGTTGGAATCAAAATTTAATGAATTCAACTTGGAGTCTAACTTTGCCTCAAATGTGGAACTGTAAACACAACCAATAATATCTCAAACCATATAACACTTCAGTTTCACTTTGGCATGACTACACAGAGTACCACACTTGATGTGTATCTACACACAAATTTGTTCATAGTTACATGAGGAAAAAAATTAAACTTGTCATATGTGAGGTTTTTCTGAGTCTTCCTAATAATGAAATCTGATTATTATGTCTTAAGTGACACTATAATTATAGATGAAAAGGTTTTCTATTGCTGACCCAACCTGTTCTTTAAAACACAAAAGGCACCTTTTGCAGTCTTCAGCAAGGAAACCCCCCACTAAACAAAGAAAACTAAAACAATGCCTACATTTTTAAAGACCTAACAATATAGTAATAATAATAATAAAGTAACTCCCATGCAAATACAAAAAAACAGACGAAAATTGGAAAATTAGGAAACTAAAAAAGTTTTGAGCCATAGTTGTCACCAATTTTAAGAAAGATATAAGTGACAGTGATGTCATTCTCCGGCTACAAAATAACTTATTCAGTGCCTCTATCTATAACTACATTTAAGACATTCTCAGTATTGAACTGCACATTCTTGGGATGAATTTTACAGCCGTTGAACTTTCATTTTCTGTCTGGGTGATAATGTTTTATCTCAAAAGCAAGGGGAAACACCAACACACTTAGGAACCCACACAGAGATAACTATGGAGTGGCTCTCTTATGCTGGTATAGAATAGTTATATACTAAACATCCTCTGTATATAAACAGTGTTCAAACCCAGGAGGGAGGAACACATTGTCCACCGGTGTAGTATTTCAAAGCACGTTGCAGAGGGCCCGAAAGTCTAAAAGCATTAATTATGACTTCTCTCCTACCGTATTAATTTAAGAAATTCCTCAGAGTATATGGCAGAGTTTGCCATCCATCTGCTATGGCTTGTGCCTGTGCTGGTGGGCACACAAGGTAAAGTCAGCGGCAACAACCTTTCTGGCAGCTTCTTACTCAATTTTCATCCTGGGGAGGCATACTCCACAGAAACAGACCCCAAAATCCCAACAGCCGCATACTCCCCCTCCGGGCCCCAGAGAGCCTTAAGAACACAGTATGAGTCTGGCAGCAGCACCTTTGTTGTTGTAAAGTGCTGGGCTAGGAGAAGGCATAAGCGTCACCATATACCTGCTCGTGTTACAGGCTCTGGAATCAAAGTATTCTCACATGACACATTACTACCAATAACAGATTCCGGCTCCGTTTAAAAAAAAAAAAAGTAGGGGGGGCTACATATTTGTCCTGCTTTTGTCTAAAAACCAGAACCCAAGTACTAACTACTTTTCATTCTTTTCAACCTTTCAGGAAAGCAATTCAATCAATCAACTGCGGCTCCACCCAAAAAGCTTCTATACTTACTTTTCTTACAGTTTTTGAGTGACGCACTACAAAACGATGAAAAAAAAAGAAGAGGAGGAGGAGGAGGCAGCCCACTCCCACAGGGCGTCTTCCGCCCTGTAAACTTGGCAAAAAGCAAACTGGCCAGAAATACAGCACTCTCCATATAAGGCAGCCCAGCTAAACATGTCATGCGTAATTTATGGGTAGCAGGCAGAGAATTAACCTTTGCGTGCACATATTTGGCCCAGATGAAAACCGGGCGGGATGGCAGCCCCGGGGCCAGGGATGCGGGAGCCGCCGGGAGAACCCGCGCGCCGCTCGCCTCAGAGGGACTCGCACCTTCCCCCGACAAAGGTCATTAAGTTGTGAGTACACTTGCACGCACCTGTTTCTCTTCTCGCCCCCCGTTTCTCCCTCGGTCCCTCCGGGCTGCCAAGCCGTGCGCCGGCTGCGCCGTGACAGCGTCCGCAAAGCCCGTGGCGGGGAAGGGCGCAGGAGCTGCTGCAGCTCAGCCTCCCGCCTTCCCCCGGGCAGGAGGTGCTGAGGGACGCGAAACCAACCACCGCGCGCGGCCCGCCCCGGCCCGGGAGAGCCGCGGCCGGCAAGCACCTCCTCGCACTTCCTCCTTCAGCCACGGGCAGCCCCGCCGGAGTCCGAACAATGAAGCGCGGCGGAGCGGCGCGGGGAAACTGTGAAAATGGAAACTTACCTCTCACATTTTTTTTTCAGAGGCGGCCCGACTGTCGACCGAGTGCCCAAGGCATTGTGGGAGTCATGATTCCAAGATGCCCGCGACGGAAAAGAGAACTTGTCAGCTCCTTGTCACGGGAGCATTGTGGGCGCCACAACTCATTCAGCTGCAGTGAAAAGACTGTTGCATGTCGCTGTGCAGCCTCTTATCGCCGAGGTCTGGCTTCCGCTGCTGCTGCGCGGCCCCTCCCCCGCCCGCCCAGCCCCACCAGGAAGCCCAGGGCGGACTCGTCGAGCTCCTGAATGCACGCGGCGGCGAGGAAAACGCTCTTCAACTTTCCGCCGGCGCCCTCCCGCGCTTCCCCGGGCCCCAGGGTCGCCTCTCAACCGGAGAGAGTCCGCAAGGACGGGTCATGGGCGCTCGCCCCGCGGCGCCGAGAACAGGAGGAAGCGGGAGCCCGCGTGGGCGCCGTGGATCCCCTCGGCCTCCCGTTGGTATCTTCCATCTTTTGCGTTCAACATTGTAACCTCGCGGCGGGCGTGCAGACTGGACGCCCTCCGGCTACTTCTGCTCCTACCGACTAGCCGGGCACATCAGTGGGTCCGTTTTGAAAGAGGCCCATGCACCGGGCTTTGCAAGGAAGCCGGGAAGGTTAGACTGAAGGTTAGGAACCTATTAGACTAGAATCCTTGGATCTGTTGGGACTGCCGCCTTAAAATGCACCAAACAGTTTCTGAAACTGGCGGGTGAACAGGCGGGAAAAACATCTGCAAGACTGCCACTGTGTATTTTCTTCAAGTAACAGGCTGTCCACAGTTTTGGAATTCCTTAGTGAAACTGTCACACAAGCACAAACACTCACATGCCAGCTTTCCTTCTAGTTTGTAAATAATATTTGGACTTTACAATGTATTCTCAACTTTGCACTGTGATTCATAGAAAGCAAAGCTCCCTCTTTGAAAATAATAAATATATTTATATTTTATATAATATATTTATATTTATAACATATTAAATACTAGTATGTTTCATGGCAAGTGAGCCATATTGTCGCCAAAGCAAATAAACCACAGCCCCATATCACAATTCACTGGGTGTTATAAGGTGTAACTTGGCTTCACTTTGAATGGAAAGAATCCTGAACGTCTGTGGTGTGATAAAGTTTCGGAGATTGGGGGCAGGATTTCCTTTGTAAGAAATTCCGATAACTTGTTCAAGGATGATTTTGATGAAAAACGTTGGTCCCACGTTTGGGACACAATTTGGGACAAAAATGTTGGATATGGTATAACGTTCTTCCTGCAGGTTAGGTTGTGTTGAAGAGAGTGAGGCCAGCTCGAGGTGAAGGAAAAACATCAGAAAGGTGCTAAAGTGCAGAAATACCTTCCAGAGGCACTAATAGCTGACTTGAGTTCTTGACCTTTAGCTAGATCTACAAAGCACTGAGTTAAAATTGTACAGTGATTACTTCCAGAACAAATTAATTAAATGGTGCCTCTTCCCAGCGTTAATTGTTTAAAAGAACTCAAGTATCCACACAGTGTAAGCAAACTAAAAGGACACTGACACTTTTTCAGAGAACAGGGATGGGAACTTTCTATCTGCCCATTTAGTAACTACCCCAAGCTATGAAGACTTTCATTCCTCTTATTAAGCATACAGCAATTACATTTAGTGCCTACCATGCCAGTGATGCAAGAATGGGTAAGACAGTCTCTATACTCAAGGATAACACCTCTACTAGGTGAGAGACAAACCAATTAATTTTGCCTAAGGGATAAGTACTATGATGTCAGAGGCAATCCCATGAGGGCTCCAAGGATGGCGGACAAAGAATTCCCGGAGGATTTACGTTTAACTGATGCTTTGAAAGGTATGTACAAGTTAGCAAGATCAAAAGATCAAAAGGGAGTAGAGTCCAGGTGGAGAAGAGAAAAGACCAGGGCAGACTGGGTGGCGTGGCTCACACATGTAATCCCAGCACTTTAGGAGGCTGAGGAGGGAGGATCACTTGAGGTCAGGAGTTTATGAGACCAGCCTGAGGATGGAGGATCACTTGAGGTCACCAGTTTATGAGACAGGGTGACATTGAAAGGCCCTGTCTCAAAAGAAACGAAAAGAGCAGGGCAAATACAAGGCATATACAGCCTTCTCAGCCTTTCTGTGAGAAGTGAGGGGAGGGTAGTAGAGGAGAGTGGCAGGAGATGACGCTAAAAGTAGGTCTGTGTTAATCTGAGTTTCAACTTTACTGTCAAAGCTAATGAACTGGAAAAATTTAGGCAGCAAGGGCCAGAGATGGAGTCTGGACTTGTATTGCAGAAAGTTCCTGTGGTGGCAGCTTGGAGGGTGAATGAGAGTGTGGGCTGGAGGGGTGAATGGGTGTGGACAGACTGGAAAAATGACTCACACAGGGAATGAGGAAGGGAGGAGCCTTGGGAGACTCCCAAATCCCTGGCTTAGCCTACTGAATTCCTTGCTACTTGCCTTTTAATTTCTTCATTTTGCCTCCCATTCTCTATGATATTAAAGGCCTAACTTCTTAGCAGAGCAACCTTTGCACCTGCTAGCAGGTTGGTGCCCTAGATGGCTTACATGCCCCTCTGCTCAGAATGCCTGCAAACCACTAAGGACTAATCCTGGTGGTAGAAATTTGTTTTCAACACAAACCCGTGTAGAATTCCAAGTTAGAAATGTGTTCTTTTTTCATGTGGGTTAGAAAATTTGCTGTTTAGGGCAACATGGTGAAACACAGGACTTTCGAACCTGTTTAGGGTGCAAGAACGAAAACTATGTTTCTACTTCAACACTGGAGGAGGGGGGAACTTCTGGGAGCAAAAGAGAAATTGAAACTGAGACATGTTTTTTGCTCCATGACAGAATACAAAGAAATACAAGGATGATCCTTTAATATTAGAAACAGTAGAATAACCATCCTTGTAAATGACAAAGAAGAGGAAAAAAGATGTTAGTTTGCTTTAGATACAGAGAAAAAGGATGGTTAAGAAAACTCATAAAACAACAGTCAATCTATAATTCCAAATGAGTCCAAATAAATTGTGATATAAAACTACATTACCACTGATTTGGCCTGATTTACCATCGATAACATTAGAACATAAATGATGGCATTTAAAATCTTAAAGCACTGTAACAAACACCAGATCATATGTTGAAACTATTAAATCATGTCAGCTTTCAACTGCCAGCAGCATCCTAACCACATTTCAAACTATGGAAATTACTAAAAATTCATTATAGTAATAAAAAGTTAATAGTTCCTCATTTAGAATACCATTGCTATTCCCTCAGTGCCAGGAGAACATAATGGTTTCTCCTACTTCTGTGAATTGTCATTATAGTCCACAGGTTCATAAGTGAGTATATCCATGAATATATAAAGAAGGTCATTCGTGGGTGGAGAGGGAAATTAGAGAAAACAATTTCAGGTAAAATAAAACTATGTTTCAGTTAAAGAAAAGAGTGTTCACTTCAGGTTCCTGAAATACTTTAGTCCATTTAAGTTTTAATTATACCAATGAATCTCAATAGAAATACAGTTAAGGGATATAAATAATATCAGCTCCCTGTTTACCAATAATAAAGATAATCGCAGCATTTATCTTTTTCATTCCAATGGGAATGTTTAAGGCACCTATAAGTGTGTGAGTGCATGTGTGAATTGTGACTTCTTCTGCATACCACATTCATAGCTCAATAAGCTCTCACAGGTATAACTTGTCTTTCCTAACACACACACACACACACACACACTTCACCTAAATAAAAATATCTCAAGAGATATACTCTTTAAAAATACTATTTTTATTATACCAGGATAAAAATAATTGATTGAAAGATAGTGTCAAATCCAGAACCTAGTCTCAAGTACTCTGCTTCCTAATCAATATTTAAATATAGATGATCAAAAGAAGATGACTCTTCAAAGGCTATCACAAGTTGCAAACATTCTTGTATGGAGAATCAAGTTTAAGTAGATGCATTAAATGGATCACATTAAACTTCACAACAGAGTTGAGGAGAGAGCTGAGACCTTCTTTTGTAGAATTCAAACTTGTTTCTATATTTGAATAAATATACCTGATAGGATTAGGTGAATTTAGTTTAATTTCAAAGACCTTTATATATTTCACACACAACACCAGTTCTTTATGCTCATGATTTAAAAAATAAAAATATATATTCTAATAGATATTATGTATATATTTGATACATAATACAATACATTGTATGTATAACGTGTATAGCACATGAATGTGAAAATATATAATGTCAATATTTGCTACTAAATGTTTATAAAATTCAAAACAGTTAAATATTAACTTTATTATGCATTTCTCAATTAAGCTATTTTACCTAAAAGTTGAGTTTAGATGTTCAATATCATTATTTTAAAATCTAGCAATAGAGAGACAGTAAGCAAATACATTTTGAAATTACAAGTTCAGAATAATAGAATTTTAGCATTGAATGGAGTGTTAATGAGCATCTGGGCTTGTTCCCTTGTTAAACCAGAGGAGTGCGTCATATAGGGAACGTGGCACCATGGCAGAGCAGAACTGACATTAGTGTCTTCTCACTCTCTCAGGCCATTCATTTCGTTGTCTTTTTTTTTCCTTAAAGACAATGAGGACAAGAAGAAGCTCTAAAATATCCCTAACAGTTCCCCAAGTTTAATGTGAGGAGGTGCTACATTAGATTTGCAAGAATATAGTTCTTCCTTTCTCAGTTTCTTCCTTCTTTCCTTTTTTTCCTCCTTTTATTCTTTCCATTGACTAATCCTTCCTTTATTCTTTCCATACAGAAAACACTTTTCATACAATGACTGAATTCATTTCATGAACATTTATTGAGCATTAGCCATGGCTAACTCCTATTCTAGGTACTGTAGTTACAGAAATGAACAGCACAGATAAATCACTTCCCTCAAAGGGGTTGCATTCTACTAAGGGGAGACAAGCAACAAAAAATAAGTCAAGAAAACAAAAGAGATAAACATATGAGGTAATTTCAGATGGAGGTAAGTGCCATGAAATAAAATAAAGCAGATTGGGGGATTGGAAGGGGAGGATATGTAAAACACAACGGAGGACTGAGATGGTCATATGCCAGCAAGGTTCTTGGTGAAGTGAGGAATAGCTGGGGAAAGAGCATTCAAAGCAATGAGGACTGCATGGCAAGATCCCTCAGGCCTGACTTCACAGTAGGGCTAGGGAGCCAATGGTGAATAAAAACTACTTAACCTCAAGGAGCTTACGGTCAAGAAAGAGGAAACAAATGAATCTTCATCAAACTAATCACACTCAAAGTGCAAAACTACAACCATGATACTTTTCGTCACTGGGAACCATTGAAGTGTTTGATTATGTTAGACACAGGGGTGGGAGTGGGGTGATGGAACATTATCTAAATTTGGTTTTCACAAAGATAGCTAAATATTTGTAAAGTAACTCTTGACTGCTGTGTGGAGGTTGATAGTCTAATCTCAGAACAGAACGCATGAAGTGCACCACTGCTGAAAATGAGAGCAAACCAAGAGTAGGCTCTGTCTAGGAGAGCAATGGGCAGCAGATGGCTGGGAGCCCAGCAGCAGAAAGTGATTTGGTTGAAGACTCTCAGCAATGGGGTACAACAAATGTTAGAATTTTGCATCTCAGAGTTGAAGAGAAGCCATTAAGACTCATGATCCTCAAGATCCATACCTTGAGAGAAATGAGATGTGGTATGCCTGTGTGTGTGTGACTTATTTCTTATTTGGAGTCAGCACAATATAGAAAATTCAAAATTAGTGAAGGTAGAATATTTTTATAACAATCACCAATGTTTACAGTTCCCAGAGATAGTCACTGTTTGTATTATGGTTTATTTCCTTCTAGGCTTTTCCAATGCATTTTTTAAAGCATAGTTAAAACTGTACTATATATGCAATTTCTTTTCTAAATGTAATCTTTAAGATAGTCTTATAAAACAAAGGACATCCCCATATCATTTATATATAATCTTCATTTTTCATGAGGTAATGGAAGCTGGAGAGTTGGCCCTTGACCAAAGCCTTGAAGCCAACAGGAGGTCAAGCCTCCTGCCCCACAGTGTTTCACAGCCAGCACACCAAGCTTCTGAATTCATCTGTTTAACATATAATACATTTATAAATGCTCTACCTGGGGTGTACACACACCTTCTACTATGGTCTGTCATTAAAGGAAAGGAAATATGCAATCATGGTCTTTCAATCAAACAGATATAAAAATAAATATAAAATATAGCCAGAAGGTCAAAATTGACATGTTACCTATTTATGCTTTTAATATATGATTACACTTAATATTGTAAAACACCTTCTACCATTTCATAAAATTTTATGTTGTCATTTAGCCCAGAATTCCCTTGCAATCTTTTAAAAATAATATCTAATAGGCCTTTTAATATAAATCTTGTAGTGTAACTGTTTTATGTACTGTAACCCAAACACTTCTGCAGAGTAACCCTGTTTCATATAGAAAACAAATATGAAAAAAATGTGGCCTTTTGTCTTATTTATGCCTAAAGGTAAACCAGTTTTTGACAATGCCAATAACAGGGCTGATGTTCCTAAATGTCTGCTGTATCTATCTACCTACTCATCGTATTTTTGACATTTCTTTTTTTGGTTTCTATGATATTCCACAACCCTCTCTTTTCATTCCATTGTGTGAGTTCTCTCTGAGGATCTTTTGTTAGCTCCTCTTATTCCTTCTTGCCTGAGTTTCCTGAAATTACCTTCAAATCATGTCTCAAAATATGTTCTAAAGAGATCTTTTAATAAGAACAACATTTGTCCCATTAATAAATGATGGGAGTTTCATATGTTCGTTTTTCTCTTCTTTCCTCTGTGCTTTGTCCAACAGAGTAGGAACTGAGCAGTACAGTCATAAATTAATTTTAATAACTTAGGCATCAGTGCCCTGGCTATTGCTTCTTAATACATTTAACACATATTCATTGACTACTGACTATGTGCCAAGGGCTGTGCTTGGCACTGGGGATAAAGAAATTATTAAGTCTTTTGCAAGGTGTTCATAGTCTAGCGGTTGGGGACAGACGTAGGGGAAAAAACACAGTTGGAAAAGAGTGTAGCAAATGAAACCATTCAGTTAAATTCAACAAACCCTGCGTGCTTACCATGTGCCAAGCAGATGGCAAGGAGGATAGGACTGGGCAAGGCCTTGCTCCTCACGGACTCCCAAGCAGCTGGCAAATGGTAAAATTATCCGACACTTGTTAAGAGCTTCGTGGCAGAAAGAAAGTCAGAAAAAAAATCATGAAAGGCTATCAGGCAGATAAAAGACTTGATCAGAAAAACACTTTTAACAAGTATTGTCTGAGTAACATGAGAAGGAAGTTTGTTTTTCAGGTTTTTCTTGCTGTCATTATGGAAAGCTTACTAGCATCGGGTTTATTTCCTAGAGGTTGAGGCTTCTTTGGCTAGCCCCAGTGAATTCCAAACTGGCCTTGCAACTCTCTCTCCTTGCCTCTCGTAAATTTTCAGTAAAAAATCTTCAACTGGGTGATAGGAGATTATCTGATTAAAGTCATTCACACTAAGGCGAGAATGAGGCTTAATCCTTCAAGAGCGTTTGCTTTAACAAAGGATAGCTTGTTAACCCTAATGAACTGCTCATTGGAAGAGCTCTGCAGAAGGATCCCTCCTCCGCACCTTCCCAGATTTGCCAACCCCACAGTCTTTCCTTTTCGTTTGTCTTCCTTGAAGCAAAGGAGGAATGGAAGTGTTAGGGACTCTGAGATCACACATTACCTCCTTGAACTATCATAAGAGGTATGTAAGGTAATTATGACTCCATGCTCATAATGAGAAGACTGAAACTGTGGCTGTGGTTCTTAATTCCAACTACATTTTGGATAGGTGGACTGCAGCCCAGACAAATTGAATCAAAATTTCTGGGAACAGCATCCAAGCATCTGTAGCTTTTTTTAAAGCACCTTAGGTGATTCCAAAGCACAGCCAAGGTTGCCAGTTTCTTGCCTAAACTCTGCAAGAAGCTAGAGTTGAGG